CCTGTGTGCCTGCCAACTTTGTGTGGTTTTCCTCCTGTTGACATGCCACGAGCATCTTGGTGTGTGAGTACAGAGTCATCTTTATCCTTATCCTACAGCTGAGGATGCACGACTACTCAGGAGCCGAGCCTCCCCGAGGAACCCTAGGTGTCCTCACTTAAAAGCTCTGAGAACTGTGGGCAAGATGTGGGAGGGCTGGGAACCAGTACCCACGAAACGGAAGACAGCGCAGCAGGCCTCGGTTGTTGCTTCAGCGAGGTAACTTACCAGCTACTATCTGAAGTAGCCCCCGCTCCGTGTGAGCGCTGAGCACATGCGCGGTTGCGTTTACTGCTGTGGTCCTGGGGCGGTTGCGTTTACTGCTGTGGTCCTGGGGCACATTGCCTCACATCAGCACCCCCTCTGCTCCCGCACTTTCCCACCTCCCGAGGGTGCTTCCCGTGCCCCTGACCTTCGGCTCTGAGCTGAGATGTGGTACAAGCAAAATATGCATAGCGAGGACCCGGACAGATGGCTCAGGGGTTAAGAGCATTCGCCGATCTCACGGAGGGTTGGAGCTCAGCTCCCGGCACCCACCTGGCAGCTCACGGCTCCTTGACTCCAGTTGTAGGAGACCTGGCAGCTCACGGCTCCTTGACTCCAGTTGTAGGAGATCTGGCAGCTCACGGCTCCTTAACTCCAGTTGTAGGAGACCTGGCAGCTCACGGCTCCTTAACTCCAGTTGCAGGAGATCTGGCAGCTCACGGCTCCTTGACTCCAGTTGTAGGAGACCTGGCAGCTCACGGCTCCTTAACTCCAGTTGCAGGAGATCTGACACCCTCCTCGGGCTCCATGGGACTTCATGAACGTAGTACACACATATACATAGGCAAACACTCATGCACATAAAAAAAAAACTTTTAAAAGTAGATACCGAATGGCAGAGACTACTATGTAAAAAGTGCAAAGTGTCTTGCTAATAGTATTTTGCAGTGGCTGCATATGAAACATTATTTCTAACATGCAGTACATAGATACCCTAAAATGACTGGCATTCGTTTTAGTTTTACAAGACATATAGGAAAATTTGTTGTACACGTGACTTCATTCTGCTTCTCTTCAATATGGATGTGGTTTGGTGTCGTTTATTGGCTGTCAAGAGAAATGTCGCCCGTTGAACAGGATGTAGCATCGCACGAGTGAACCGTGGGCTCCAAACTTTAGATTTCGTCTTACTCAGAAGCCTGTATGCGTCTTCAGGGGACCACGGGAACCTCGAAAACACGGCAGCGACGGGAAGCCCTTCCCCATGTGTTTCTAGACCTCTGCAATTTTCTCATGATTTCTCAAGGATTCCGATTTCCTCCATCCTAGCGGGACAGAAAGTCAGAGGCCCCGGATTGAATGCATTTGGTTTCATGCTGTGTCGGGGGAGTTCTGCAGTCTGAGGTCACGGAAGATGAGATTCCCGGAGTGTTTATCGTCTGGTCTACACTGGCAATGGGAGTCTCTCTTTTAGCGTTTCCTGAGGTGGAGACTAGGTGCCTGGTGAGGAGACAGTCGCTCTCTCCAGAACAAGTCTCCCACCCCATGGCACCCACACCATCAATCCTGGGGTTCTCTCAGTGACACCCTGCAGTCAGTGGGCTATCAAATCCTAAAAGGCTGCCTCCCGACACCCCGGTCTGTTCCTTTGTCCTCTGTCGCTGCTGTTGCTGGTACTTGTGTCGCCCCAGGGATCCATTTTGAAACTAAATACGCTAAGGCTCTGCTATTACTGGAGGGGATTCTGGGTTGGTATTTGTTTAATGATTTCATTTATTTTGAGACAGGGTCTCTCTATGTAGCCCTGGCTGTCCTGTAACTCACTGTGTAGACCAGGGTGGCCTCAATCTCAGAGATCCACCTGTCTCTGCCTCCTGAGTGCTGGGATTAAACATGTCTTAAATGCCCAACTTGTTTTGTGTTGTTTTTTGAGATGGGGTCAATCTTGACAGGTAGCCCAGGCTGGCCTTCAACTAGACATCTTTCCACTCTAGCTACTGAATGCTGGGATTACAGGCATGAGCTGCTCAGCCCAGATCAGGTGATTCCTAAAGTTTGTGTATAACACATGTGGAAGGAGTACTCCATGTGAAACATTTTCAGGGCCAAGCTTTGCCATCGGGTGTCAGTTCCAGTAGTGACTTGTTTACCCACATTGACTCGGGAAGCAGAGAATGTTGGGGTGTTAGATTCAAACATCTTCTCTTTGGCAGACAAATCAAGATGGAGACATCTGCCAAAATGACAACACCAGGCACATGTAAAAGTAACCCTGGCTCTTTCTAACCCTTCTCCCATCCTTGAGCAAAGCTGAGGGTCCAAATGTGCTTTAAGAAAAGTCATGGGGCTTAGGTTGGATTTAGACATGGAAGAATGGTTCCTGTTGGCACTAAGAATTAATGGTGACAGTTGCTGAGCTCTCTGTTAGGGGACAGACTAGGGGAGGGGAAAAGACTGTTTTTTACGGTGTGTGTGCAACTTTGCCTGGGAGCTGTCCCACCCAGCCTGAAGAACTATGTGCCAGGTGAGTCCAGGTTTTTTAGGGTTCATAGAGACAGATGGTGTGACATGCTCTCTAGATCTACAGTAGAAGTGTGAGTTTGTGGTGAGGCCCAGAAGTGACGTTTACTCTCCCCTCTGTAGGCCTGGGAGTGTCGTCTCCTCTCTCCTCTGCAGGCACCTGTTAGATCTGTGTTTTGAAAGAAGACTCTGCCGCCAACAAAGGCTCTGTGCCTCCCCCCGAGACCGCTCCGTCATGTACTAGGCCCTCTCTGATAATTCCTAGGAATCACCTACATGGCACGTTGTTTATGTCTGGCTTACTTCAGGTCTGTGTTTTTAAGGCTGTTGATATTCTATCATGCATCAAAGAGAACTTCCTTTTACGTATGGAGGGTGTCATTAGGTCCCTCCAGACAGTTAAAAGGGTTGGAGGTCTAGTGCTTGTGAACAAGTAATGTAGTTTTTCCAAAGTCCTACCATTCTTAGTTTAAATACCACACATTCTAGTATTTGCTAATATAATAGATAAGAATAGCATCTTGTTTATAAATATCTTTTTACTATATTACTGTGTGTGTCTGTGTGTCTGTGCGTGCATGCTTGAGTAGGGATGTCAGAGGACAACTTGCAGGAGTGGATTCTTCCACCATTAGGTTCTAGGGGTCAAACTTAGGTCATTAGGCTTAGCAGCGAGCACCCTTATTTGCTGTGCCATCTTGTTGGTCCAAAAATACTTTTTAAATGGTGGCTGAGCTTATTGTGTTTTCTGTCTATACTATTTCATCATTTTGGGAGGTTAAATTTTGTATACTTATCCTTACATATATAGATATATATACCTATACATTAACTTTCTTAAGTATAATAACTGTAATCATTCTATCTATATATGTCATGAACCAGGCAAAGACTCTATCTCTGCGATATATCTTCAACTAAATTTCATACATTATCAGCTGAATATATTACAAATAGTTTTCTTAGCCCATCATTTGTCTTTTGATTTCATTTACATTCAGTTTTCTAATATAAACAACAGTGGGTTTTTTTTTTCATTCTCCTTGGTTTTCCAGTTTGAACTCTGTCAAATTTTGTTTCTTTTTTCTATATGGTAGATAAGTTCATAAAATGTAATTGATAGTTAATGTTTGAAGCCCCAAGCTAAGTTCCATGGCTTTAGACTGGCCAATTTTACTGTATAGAATATAGACTGATCCAACTGTACAAACTGGCTGATCTCACTGTGTAGACTGATTTCACTGTGTAGACTGTCTGATCTCATCATATAGACTGTCTGATCTCATCATATAGACTGTCTGATCTCACTGTATAGACTGTCTGATCTCACTGTATAGACTGTCTGATCTCACTGTATAAACTGTCTGATCTCACTGTGTAGACTGATCTCACTGTATAGACTGTCTGATCTCATCATATAGACTGTCTGATCTCACTGTACAAACTGTCTGATCTCACTGTATAGACTGTCTGATCTCACTGTATAAACTGTCTGATCTCACTGTATAGACTGTCTGATCTCACTGTGTAGACTGTCTGATCTCACTGTATAGACTGTCTGATCTCACTGTATAGACTGTCTGATCTCACTGTGTAGACTGTCTGATCTCACTGTATAGACTGGTCAATCTCACTGTATAGAATATAGACTGATCTAACTGTACAAACTGTCTGATCTCACTGTATAAACTGTCTGATCTCACTGTATAGACTGTCTGATCTCACTGTATAGACTGTCTGATCTCACTGTATAGACTGTCTGATCTCACTGTATAGACTGTCTGATCTCATCATATAGACTGTCTGATCTCACTGTATAGACTGTCTGATCTCACTGTATAGACTGTCTGATCTCACTGTATAGACTGTCTGATCTCACTGTATAGACTGTCTGTTCTCACTGCATAGACTGTCTGATCTCACTGTATAGACTGTCTGATCTCACTGTATAGACTGTCTGATCTCACTGTATAGACTGTCTGATCTCACTGTATAGACTGTCTGATATCACTGTATAGACTGTCTGATATCACTGTATAGACCTTCGCTGTACACGTAGAGTTTGGTACTGGGAAATTGTCTGTATGAGTGGCTTCCTTAAAGTAGCTGGGTGATGTCTTCATTTGTGGGATTGCTATAATCAAGTGATAAAAATAAAATAAATGAATGAAAACCAAATAGTTCTGGGGGTGGAAACACACTGTGGATTTTGCTTAGAGAATCTTAACTTCAATAACTTTTTAAAAGAAAACAAGACTAATGTTTGTAGGAATTTTTAGTGCATTTTAAGATAACCTTTAAAGATATTTCTTGCCACCCCCCGTGTGTGTGTGTGTGTATGTGCGATGTGTGTGTGTGAGAAAGAGAGAGTATACCCCATGTATGTGCAAATGAGACTGTACTGTGTGTGTGTGTGTGAGAGAGAGAGACTATACCCCGTGTGTGTGTGAGAGACTGTACCCCCATGTGTGTGTATGTGAGACTACACCCATGTGTGTGCAGGTGCCTATGGTGTCCAGAGAGGCCTCAGATCCCCTGGACCTGGAGCTGCAGGCTGTTTTAAGCTGCCTGACGTGAGCAATTGCCCTTAACCCGAGTCGTCTTTCCAGCCGCTTTTTACACCTTGTTATTTTGGCATGAGATAGGAGTTCCATTTTCCCCACTAATGAACTGCGCTCCTGTGGGGAGGAGTGGACTTGGACTCTGGTCTTGGAAGTGGCAGTGTGACTGAGTGGAGCGAGCCTCTTTGAACTGTTGCTTCCTTCCCGTTGCGGTGTCTGAGGGAAGCAGTCAAGACCTGGGTCTCTGCTGCAGGCTCGCAGTGACTGGTGACGGACAGCTGGCACCTACGTCTCCTCCCCATTCTAACGGATGCCTTGTTTTCAAGAGGCAGACACTGTCACTCACTCTAACGAGACCCGGAAGAGGAAGCTCTTTTTCATGTGGAAAGCTCCTGCCCAACCTGTGGGGATTAGGTTTCTGTGAGAGAGCACAGTGTAACTGAGCCCACATAGTTTGGGGAGGGGGTCCCTTCCCCCTTTCAGATTTCTCTTCCCCCTTAGCTGCTTTAGAACAGGTGTTGGGTCCTAACTACATTAGGGAGCCTGCACAGAGCGTACCTGGAGCAGAGTTCGGTCCCCAGCCTCCCTGGCCCTCATCCTCAGTCCTGGAATGTGCTATCCCCATCTTCGTAGAGCATAAGCATCTTAGCTGGCCTCTGAGAGCAGGTAGCAAAGGAGAAGGTACTCACACCTGCTAAGTGGCTACGGCAGGAGGATCGCTGAGCCCAGGAGTTCAGGCCAGCTAGTGCGACAGCAATGACCCATCTCAACGAGGAAGCAGGGCTGAGGAGACAGCTGAGCCTGCCAAGTCCTGGCTGCACAGGCATGAGGACCTGAGTGCAGTCCCCTGGACACACATTAAAAAGTGGGCACGCAGCCCACGTGTAATCCCAGCACTGGGCAGCCACAGACCAGCAAATCCCAGGACTCTGTGGTCTCCTAGCCTATCTGAATCAGCTCTGTGTCAAACAGCAAGGTGGACATGCCTGATGAATGACACCCAGTACTGACCTCTCACCTACACACATGCAAACACACGTGTCCACATGCATGCACACATGCACACACGTAAACCAGTACACATATACATGTAAACAAAACTCGGCATACTAATCCCAGCATGTGCCTCCTAGGGTTTTATGGGACTAAAAGAGCAGTATGGACAGGGTTGTTTAGGCCAATGCCTCACAATAGTAACCTGACACTTACAATATATATAAGTGCTGTATGGAGTACTTACACAGTACTGCACAAGTGTTGTTACTCAAAATGAGACTTGACTTTATTTCAGGGTCCTCCCTGCAGGTAGAGCGGGGGGGGGGGGCGGGTCCAGCCTGCCTCTTCCCGGGGCTGAGCGGGATGGTGAGTGTGTGTCTACGACTCAGACCTTCCCCCCATTAGTTACTGGGGGGGCACACACTGAGTCGGGAGTCTGTCGAAGCAGGATCTTGATTTATTCCAACACACAGGAACTTATATAGGGCTGAGGTAGGGGATGGGAATCTTGGGATAGGGTAAGGTGACATGAGGAATTAAGGGCCAATAGTATTCCACCAAGCAGGCAGGTAGCTAGGCAGGGGGCAGTCTTGCATCAGATCTGGCTGAGTCACCCCCATGTGGAGGTTACAGGTTAGAGACAGGTTTGGTTTGGTGGTAATCCTATGCAACTGATTTCCCCAGGAGGGGAAACTGGTGGCTATAGACGCTCTCCTGATGGCTATCTAACGGTACTATTTTAAGGGAGTGAAGTCACCCAAAGGGAGACAGTTCTGTCCATTGGACTCTTGTCCTCTAGCTTCTAGCATGTTCTCTCCCCGTATGGGGTGGTCCAGGGAGTTACTTACTGGAAAACCAATCTATGAGTCCCTGCTTTTGTTTCTGCTATCAGCCATCAAGTCGTATTTTGTTTACTGGGCCAGGGTCAAACCATGTGTTGTGTCTCAACAGACACATAGTGGAGTCCACTCTGCCAGCGTCCACCGTGTGGAGCCAGGATCACCAGCAGCAGCCCCTGGCAGAGGCCAGCCACACGCTGCTGAAGGAACTGCCGGGTACTGCTTGCCAGTTGCTCACAAGCCCGCCTGTCATCATCATTTCCAAGTGCTCTCTTTGGACCTGTAGTTTACCATTGCAGGCTCCTGTCCCCACAAACCAAGCAAATACACCTGCCCGAGCAGCAGCAGCTGCCTCCGGGGACATGATGGTGGCTGGGGGGCGGGGGGACCACTTGCATGGTCAGCATTGTTGCAACAAGCATGTTTTATTAACTCAATACACTGAATTAAGTTGGGTCCCCAGGGCGAGGGCAGTAAAACTGCTTCAAAACCAGAAGACAGCACACACCTCCTTGGAAGGACTCTAGGCTTACAGGGAGCACAGTGTTTCAGTGTCCTTTGGATCTGTGAAGCTGGGAGATGAGCTCCTCCTCCTCCTCCTCCTCCTCCCTTATCCTCATCCTCATCCTCTCCCTCCCTCTTCCTCCTCCTTCTCTTCCTCTTCCTCCTCTGCTTTCTCTCTTTAACCCCTTTTTTCCTGTATTATAAAATCCCATACAATTGAAATAATTAGTTTTTAGATAGACTGGTCTCAACATTGCTATGTGCCAAAGATGACTTTGAACGTTGGATCCCCTGGCCTCCATCTCCTAAGTTCCAGGGTTACAGGCACTCACCACCATGCCGGGTTATCCAGTGCTGGAACCCAGGCTTCATGCATACTGACAAGCAATATATATATATACACACCCATTGAGCTACACCCCTAGCCCTTTGTCCACTTGTCATTATTTTCCAAACTAGGCAGAAGGCTCTTTGTGGGCTAGACTGGAGGAGAATGAGCAATAACAGAGTCTCACTGGGAAGCCACCTTTTCCTAAGCTTACCTGCACATGATTTTATATTTCATTGCCCATGATCTGTTTATAAAAGAAACAAATAAAGCTAAAACAAATTATCCAAACCCCCCAACTTGCTTTAAAAATGATTTAATTAAAGGTTCCTGCGATGTGGAAACATCCCATTATTTCCCTTTATGAAAAGTTTCTAAACAAATACACTCATAATGATCTCAGAGGTAGTTTGAGCAATGTCCTCCACAGGCTCAAGTGTTTGAGCACTCGGTGTCCAGTAGGTGGCGCTGTCTGAGAAGGTTATGCAAACTTTAGGAGGTGTTGTCTTGCTAAGAAAGTATGTTGCAGGAGCCAGGCTTTGAGGTTTTATAACCTGGCCTGACGTCCATTTCCTGACTGCCAGGCCCGTCTTAAAGTCTTGCAGCCATGCCCTCCCCACCAAGATGGACTGTGTCCGCTTTGGAGTTAACAAGCCGAAACAATCTGTTGCTCTTTTTTTTTCTTTTTTCTTTTTGACAGAGCTCACTGTGTAGCCCTGTGTAAACCAGGATAGCACTGAACTCACAGAGATCCACCTGCCTCTGCCTCCTGAGTGCTAGAATTAAAGGCGTGTGCCACCACCCTGTCCCATAAGTCACTGTTTGTTGGCGTTTGCTCAGGCTGACAGATCTGGCCACAGACATGGTCAGCAGTCTGTCAGTAGCAGCAGCCAACCCTCCCTAACCTGGCTTTGCCCCCAAACCTTTCTGGTTCTGCCGATTATACAGCTCCTCCAGCTTTCTCACCAAGACACCCCTAGACGCACAGCAGAGACCACAGGCTCAGAGCAGAGCCCCACATCGGACATGTCTTCAGAGTGGCACGTCTTATTTGATAAGTCAGGCAAATGTTGCATTCCGATTCCAGGAATAACCAGTCTGCTTTAGTGTGAACCAAGTGGGATGAGACTTCAGAAGAAGCACCACACTTCCATGCAGGAATCCCAGCCTCTAGGATGTCTGCCTGGCATGGCGGCAGCCCGGCGCCATCCTGTAGTATTGGGTGCCAGCCTAGGTAGCCACCAGGGTGACATGGTGCCGCCCACTCCCCTCCTCCTGCAGTCCTGCCTTTCCCACCTGGCTACAAGGACACTGGTGACCCCCAAGGAAAAGGACTGTGGGGGGGGGTATGCTGGCAGGTATGAGTAAAATTCTCTAGTAAGATTTTAGAAGTTAAAACTTATAGCTTATTCAAACTGGGAAAGAGCAGATATGTTTCTGAAACATCTCTGCCCACAGAGCACCCCCACCCCCTGACACTGTGGGAACCTGTCCTGCTCCATTGGGTATGATCAATGGAGTGTGCCTACCCTCCGACAACCCTGAACTGCTGTCCCTTAAAGACCCACATGACTTCCGGGGTGGTTTTCATTGGCTCCTTGGTGAAACTTTCCTTTTCTTCTTGGTAGGCGAGCGCCATAGTCCGTTCAGGCTCGCAGCTCAACGCCTCACTTTGGAAGTGTATTTTCTTACAGTTCTGGAGGCTGAGGGATCCTAGATGGCTTCCATGTCTGGTTAAGAGCCAGATGGTGCCTTCACACACCCTCCCGTGCATGAGAGTCAACTCCCTACTCCCTTCCCCAGCCGGGGACTCACCTACCACCTACTGGCTCCCCGCTCACTGCTATTGTGCTGAAGAATGGGGGTGTGGGGTACTGTTCATACTAGCACAGCAGGAAGATAATTGTTTCGTTCCTGAGCTCTGATCATCCTATCCAGCTTTTAAGGTTGGTCATACAAGGATCTCTCTCCCTAGACTGTAGGTTCAGAGACAATTCTAGGTCTGCTTGTTTCTGCATCTCTGGCACCTGCTGTGTAGCCTGCATCCGAGAATGTAGCGAGGTGGTCGGGATAGATGACACAGAGACCGGTCGGTTGCTTTAAGAAAACTTTATGCTTCCCAAGTCAGCTTAGGAGGAGACTCCAAGTCTGCTTAGGAGAGAGAAGTCTCCAAGAAAAAAATGCTTCCCTTTTTAAGGACTTCTGTCATCCATCTATATACAATTCTTTCCAGACTTCTCACCCTCCTGGCTGGTGGTTTAATCTCCGGCCCCAGAATCGGGGAGACACCACAGGGGGCAGGAAGAGGCATCTAGCCATAGGGGGTGTCAAAGTCATGGTTTTTCAGTGAGCGAGCCCTTATCTGAGCCCTATCAAGCTTTAAAGCACTGAATTGTTTTCAGTAAACATTACACAGCTGCCTGCTCCCAGGCCGAAGGGGAAGTGGGTTTCTGCTCAAGGTCTGGTGTCCCCACAATTCACCCCTTTTTATTTTTAAATGAGGCACTCCTGGCTTAGGTCAAGTAGGGTCACCCTCCCTGGCCCGTCTTTGGGGGACCTTGAACCCCTGTCTTAGGTGGGAGGGGTCTTCCCCACAGGTTGCCCGTCAAAAGAGTGCCCCAACCTTAAAATCATTTGTAATAAGGCTTTATGGCTATCGGGATTGCCATGGGCTAAGGCACTTTGAACTCAGCATGAAGTCAGAATGCCTACTGCCACTGTTACCATTCCTAGGACCCCCACTGACATAGCGCCTCTCTGTCACCTGCCCATTCCCCCCCCCGATTTGGGCCTTAGCATTCTACCACCAGCCTTTCTTTGTTACAAGGGTGATTTATAGTTACAATTTGACGGTCAAAATAGTGATAAAGTTTACAATCATTTTAAGATCTACTTAGGAAAGCATTAGAGAGTGCACTTGCACAGATACATTAGGTACAATCATTGATGTTACACATGTAGCATTATAAAAAATATGAACAAGAGGCTTGTTGCACTATTTACAGAGTACCAATTTGTTCCTGTGGTGATGTAGTCTGTCGATTTAATGTCAGTAGTATCAACCGAACATGTAACCCGAGTCAAAGTCTTTTTGTCGCACCAGGACAAACCACATTTCTCCAGAAAAACACACTGTGATTCCAGAAACAGGAACTACCGAGTCTGATATTTCAAGTGACCATGTCCTGTTCAAATACTGAAAAGAGGCTTTTGCCACTCATTACAGTCCATACCAATGTCCAAATGTTTTAAATGGGTCCTTTTTTTTTCTGTTGGCTTGATGATGAAAACTCACAGGTCCAGGAGGTTGATGTAGCAGGCCTGATGAGAAACTAGAAATCTTGAACTGACTATTTTATTTCTTTCTCGGGCTGTAGATTTGATGACATCAAGGGTCAGGAGCACTGATTTAGGAGATCTCGAACTGGCTTGAGTAGGCTCCCACGGTCTCAGGTCCAGTTTTCTCTGCTCCATATATCTCACCAAATGTTGTGACAGCTACTGAAGCTTTATTCTTTTCCTGTAAGAAAACACAAACATGCCCTCGACCCCAAATTAGGGTCTTCTCTACTGTCTAGTGTATGGATGTTTCCATTTGACCTGAGTAATAGTTGTTTAACTTTCATTACGTCAGAATCTGTCTGAAGCAGATTCCTCACTGGCATTTACATTTTAAAAATTTTTAAATGAGGAGTGGATTATTTAATGAATCATGTGGGGACTGGGGACATTACTCCCCCTTTTATTTTTAAATTTTGTTTGAACTGTTGAAGTTGGACCATAACAGTAGAAGGATTTGTCTACCCTCCTTAGTCAACTATCTAGGTGAATTGGGATCACTATTTAAATTATTAGTAGATGTCCTTTAAAAGGGACATAACCATTAAGCACCTTTGAGAATCATTTAAGGATTGTAAACTATACTATGACCCAAATAGTCCCCTTTTTTTTTTAACCTGTAGCTCTCACTAGCTGACAAGGCCCTGTTTGCATCTGAACTGACAAGGCCTAATTTGCATCTACATAGACACCTTTGGGGGTGGGGGCCTGCCAAAGCAGCAGGGCAGTTCCCTGAAGAAACCTCTCTCTCTCTCTCTCTTTTTTTTTTTTTTTGACTGGCTCTGAGGGCTTAACTTGAATTTTTTGTTAAAATATTAACTGACTGACTGGATGTTTCTTTTGGCTATATCTAAATCGATTTAGGTAGTTTTTAACTGTTTGAAGGGATTTAAGTATCCCTTTAATCATATCCAAGGCAATTAGAACAGTTGCTTTTGTCAACATTCACGCATTTACATTTCACACTTCATACATACTGACGTGGCCACCTCCATACACACAGACCATGCATACATGTCTCTCCTTTTGCCTAGGTTATGATTAGTTTGTTGAACTGAAACTTCTTTAACAGAATAACTCCAGTCAATCTTTGAATTAAAACAAAAGGTTGAAAAAGTCCTGTATGTCCCTCATCATTTCTTCATTAGAGAAGTTTTGAGCTACACTCAGGGGCTACAGCCATACCCACTCCTTGTAATTCTGTAGATACAAAGTGGAAAGGCCAGGCTTTTGCCAAAAGTTTTTAGAGATGACTCACAAAATTGACCTTAAATTTGTATCAATAACCTACCTCATATAAATGTAACCAAACATTTTTATTTTATATAACTTTGTCTTTTTCTTTACTGAATACTAATACCTCATTTATTAACTTTACCAATTTTTTAAATTTACCCATCTTTAATCTATCCTCCCATTGAGGATGATCCTCCAATCCACCCTCCAACTGAGGGCAACTTTTTAGGTTCCCCTTGCTTTCCTGACCTTTGTCAGGCAAGGGCCTAGACATTTAATCTGGTACCCCTAGCTTGGTACCCCCTTTTTAATACATCCTTATAGCCTTACTTGTTGGCCAGTCTTTTAAATCTCTCAGTTTACCTTTACTTTTTTGACCTCAGTGGATCAGGTGAAAGACTGGCCTCATTTATTAACTTTACCAATTTTTTTTAATTTACCCATCTTTAATCTATCCTCCCATTGAGGATGATCCTCCAATCCACCCTCCAACTGAGGGCAACTTTTTAGGTTCCCCTTGCTTTCCTGACCTTTGTCAGGCAAGGGCCTAGACATTTAATCTGGTACCCCTAGCTTGGTACCCCCTTTTAATACATCCTTATAGCCTTACTTGTTGGCCAGTCTTTTAAATCTCTCAGTTTACCTTTACTTTTTTGACCTCAGTGGATCAGGTGAAAGACTGGCCTCATTTATTAACTTTACCAATTTTTTTAATTTACCCATCTTTAATCCATCCTCCCATTGAGGATGATCCTCCAATCCACCCTCCAACTGAGGGCAACTTCTTAGGTTCCCCTTGCTTTCCTGACCTTTGTCAGGCAAAGGCCTAGACATTTAATTTGGTACCTCTAGCTTGGTACCCCCTTTTTAATACATACTTATAGCCTTACTTGTTGGCTATCCTTTTAGATCTCTGAGTTTTCCTTTACTTTCCTGACCTCAGTGGATCAGGTGAAAGACTGGAGATTTTTTATTTTATTTCTTATGTTACCCTCCTTTTTTTTTTCTTTTGACTGGGTTTCTCTCTATCCTTTTGGAGGCTGTCCTGGAACTCGCTCTATAGACAAGGATGGCCTCCATCCTACCTACCTCTGTCTCTCGAGTGTTGGGATTAAAGGCATATGCCACCAACACCCAACTCTAAAGATCATAGCGAACATCCTTCCAATCTGGGACATTTAAGCCTCCCCCAGTAATGAACCATGGACTCACACGTTCAATCCATATTAAAAAGCCTTCCATGGTTGTAGTCCCCTGTTCTTTAAGTAACTTTTTTACATAATACTGTAATTTAAACTTCCAGGGACTATTTCTCATCATTTCTTTTCTATTTTCCCCAATCTGTCCCTGGCCAGAAAACGAACCCGCTCACTTACCTCGTTTTTATGATCTCGGTGGGATCCTCCAATTGTCGCACCTGCTGTGTAGCCTGCATCCGAGAATGTAGCGAGGTGGTCGGGATAGATGACACAGAGATGGGTCGGTTGCTTTAAGAAAACTTTATGCTTCCCAAGTCAGCTTAGGAGGAGACTCCAAGTCTGCTTAGGAGAGAGAAGTCTCCAAGAAAAAAATGCTTCCCTTTTTAAGGACTTCTGTCATCCATCTATATACAATTCTTTCCAGACTTCTCACCCTCCTGGCTGGTGGTTTAATCTCCGGCCCCAGAATCGGGGAGACACAGCAGGGGGGACAGGAAGAAGCATCTAGCCAGCCGTAGGGGGTGTCAAAGTCATCGTGTTTCAGTGAGCAAGCCCTTATCTGAGCCCTATCAAGAGCTTTATAGCACTGAATTGTTTTCAGTAAACATCTCACAGCTGCCTGCTCCCAGGCCGAAGGGGAAGTGGGTTTCTGCTCAAGGTCTGCTGTCCCCACAATCCTATCCAGCTTTTAAGGTTGGTCATACAAGGATCTCTCTCCCTAGACTGTAGGTTCAGAGACAATTCTAGGTCTGCTCGTTTCTGCATCTCTGGCCACCACAACAAACTGTAGCATGCGGTGGGCCTGTAGAAGATACCCAGATTGTAGGAATTCCAGACTGTCCATTTACTATGTATCTGAGCTAGGATGCTGTTTCCCTCAACTTTCTGAGAGAAGAAAACACCGGAGCAGAAGAGTGTTCTGCAGTGGCCCGAGAACTTGAACCACACTGTATGGACAAACACTGCCTGTCACTTTGGTCACCCCCATAGCTGACCCTCTGTGCCTGCTGCCTCCATGCCAAGAACCATGCTTCTCTCCTGTGTGACATCTCTAATGTGACTTTGCTCCTCAGGTGCTTTTGAAGAAATGAAGAAACTGATTGTCAGAGCTAGAGAGATGGTCCAGCAGCTAAGAGTGTGCACTGCTCTTGCAGAAGGCTGTAGCTCTGTAAGTGCAGCACCTGTAGCTCTGTCTCCAGGAGATCTGTTGCCTCTGGATGCAGCAGGCACCAGCACTGTGTGCACATAACTCCCCTACGCACATATGACGCTTAAATAAAAGACGTCTTTTTAAAATAAAGAAACAGTTGTTGAGGACACTGTCCAGAGTCAGGAATGGCTGACTCTTGAACCCAGACAATAATCTCTGTCTGCAGTGCGTTCTTGCCCATGCACGGCCCCGTTTCTGTTGCTCTGGGCCCTCACATTTGAAAGGGTCCCCAGTAACTTTCCATTTGCCCTACAGCATTAGCTGGATGCCAATGGGAAATCAGACAGTAGACGGGAATGATTTTTGTCTCTACTCAAGGCAGACGCTGAAGTCATTATTGCCACCGGGGAGACTCGGTGTTAATATTATGACAGAAAGTTCTAAGGCTTTAAAAAAAAAAACCCTGATTTTCAGGCTTCTACTTTTCTTCTAATTAATGGCAGTTTTTGCAGAGATGAAAAGATATAGGGAATTGCAGTACTGAGGAAGCGTTGAGTAAATGTGTGCTGTCAGGCACCGTTGGGACGTGACTGTAAGCACAAGTGTGTATGAACTGCTGAGCGGGGTGTGTAAGACCAGCACGCACACCCTCCTCCTTGCTGTGGTCCCCACACTGCTGCACAGACACAAGGTCTGAGGTTGGTGCCCTCCATCAGAGGGACACAGCCCACCTGCCCCCAGCTGCTCTGTTCATGAGTCATGCTGTTCTCTTTACCCTCTACTGCTCCAGTAGAGGTGGGGGCCATGGTAGGGAACGGTCCATCGGTCGCTGTAGCCCCTTCACAATGGTCATTAAGAATGCACAAGTCCAGAAAGGTGAGAGACGTCCTCTTTTAAAAGGATGTTAAGAAATAGGTACTTTGGTACCTCGCCGGGGCTTTGTGTCACTGTGCCGATTGCTTGAATGTTGACACTCAGCGACTCTCACTCATGATCACCCTGAAAGCACATTAGTGTCTCCACTACCTACCCTGTCCTCACAGTCTTCATGCCCGCCAATCCTAGCCAGAACGCCCCTGTCTCTGTGGGTTCATCTCTGCCCCTTTATCTCTAATACAGACACCCTCAGAAGTCTTTGCCTTTGTCCTCTCAGGAGCTGAAGATGATTCTGCCAGCCTTACGTGACAATGTTCCCTGGGGGTACAGAGAGTCTGACCCAGTCACCTTCATAAGTGTCTACTGTGAGCGCCAGTGGCCAGCAACCGGGCAGACAGGGCAACCCAACCCCACAACCTTCCCCGGATGTCCACAGTTTGGAGAGGCTTGCGACCCTCAGAGAAGACTCCCTGGACAGCTTTGATTACATCCCAAGCACCCACCATAGGGAAAAGCTCATGGAGTGGGCCACTGAGTTGGACAGGGCTAACCACTTGAGTGTTTAGGAGTCTGACAAAAAAAAGGTGTTGGCCAAATTTATCCTTAGGTGTCTGGTGTATCTTCATAGAAGCAGAGCTGCTGGTTAGACGAGCTGGGTATGATAACTCAGGGAAACTGAACTCTGAGATGTGTGAAATACATAAAATACACTTTTAATATCTGAAATACACTTTTAATATCAAGGGCAAATGTAGCTTGTGTGTTAAGTACTAAACAAATGGCCGTACTCATGAGTTCTTGGCTGTTCTTCTCATACCTCTCTCTCCCAGCTCTCCTTTCTGGTGTCTGTCTCCAAAATGAGGATTTATTCCAGGGAAATCTGCTTTCATTAAAACACACAGCAGCAACAGGAAACAGCCTTCTTTCCGCTTCCAGTATGTTATGAGTCCTTTCCTCTCTTCCATCCCCATCAGGGCTCAGGGTGATCTAAGCTTTGATTCTTTGGAAACTTGCCTGCCCTTGAATAAGGATGAACAGGTAAGAGTGAGGTTGCAGGGGGTGAGGCTTGGGGATTTAGTCCCAGAATGGGACATGTCCAGCTGGGAGAGAGCTAACGGGGGAGCAGCTGAAGCCAGAGAGAAAGCAAGTGTATAATGCAGAGTGTCCTTGTCCTAACCAATACCAGCCCTTCCAGTGTCTGAAGCTACTGGCAGTTGTAAAAAACTGATGGCTTCAGGGCTTGTTTTCCCACTTAACTATGCTTAATAATTTCTCTTTCCCCTGTCCTCCTCCCCCCGCCACTTTTTATAACTTTATAACCACAATGTGCGGTATCTGTGGTCAGATCAATGGGCAATGTAAAGCAAACACCTGGAAGATTCACCTTCCCTTTGACATCTCAGAAGTCAAACATCTCAAACTGAAACATGGTATAATATTCTCACTTAAAGTTATCGGAACCCATGGTAAGAATAAGTGGTACCCCCTCCTGCAGATATCTTCATTGCTCTTAGACAACAAAAATGGTATAACCCAATCACTGCTTGGGTTTGGGAGCCTCTTAAAAGACCCCAAGTTCGTCCTTGTAAGTAGCTCCCATGCTGTAGTGGGCTTTCCACTAACTACCTGTCCCTGTCAATAACAGATGCTTTTGTACCTAGTCTTCTACTCCGTCTCCTCTAGACAAGCGAGAGGCCAGCTTCCAACTGCTGTCTGGGGTCTATGGAGCACAGTGAGTTGCAAATCGGGCGAAGATCTGCTCCTTTGATTTCATTTTTCTCTTGTAGGCCGAGAGGACTGTCTCTAATAGGTCCATGAGGAGGCCTGCTCTGTACTCTGCCCATATTGCCAAGCCTCAGAACTTCCGGTCTCCTGAAACCCTCCCTGGGAATGGAGCTAAGATAGCCAATCCAACTCCTGGTTTCCACCCCCCTGGCACAGCCAGGAGTCCGTCAGATGCATCAAGGCCCCCTGCCGGCTTTTTACATGAGCCCAAGCACAGGGAATACCGAGTGGAGGCGGCGGCTGCCCAGGGTGTTATGGGATACTGTTGAGGAAGTCCTGTGTCAATAAAGCACTGCGGACCAACCTAAGGCCTGGAGAGAAGCTCCAGAGAGTCGCTGCCCACCTGGAGACCCAGCTCAGGACTCCTCAGCTACTGATTCTGATCTGCCTGTGGGCCACCCTGGGCGTGGCCCTGGCTGCTGGCCTTGGCTGTCTCTGTTGGCAGTATTGGCACATGTGGACAGAAAGAGTCCTTCGGGGAACCTACCACAGACGCCGCTGCCGGGAGTGATGAAACGGAGAGTTCATGCCAAGAAGACAGGTGAACGCCTGCGTCTTGGCTCACGTGGAGCCCAGCTGAACCTCTTTCTGCAGGTGACAAGAAAACTGTCCTCTGAAGAGACTCTTGGGCTGGGCCCCTCAGTGGCTCAGCAGAGTGTGTTAGTCACAGCCGAGCTCCTAGGAATTCCCGGTGAGGCCGGGGTGCACTGTACCTCCTGTCAGGAAGGAAAGGGTAGGCTATCAGCGGAGGGCTCCTCGTCAGGGCTGTTGTCTTTGTGTCTGTGATTTTGCTCCTTTTTTCCCATCTTGCAATTAGGTGTTCTGTTTGAAGAGTTAAACTCAACACAATGAATATTGTATAACCTGCTCATTAACTAGACTCCTGTGGCCGGGGAGCTTCCTCCGTTGCCTTAAGGAACCTGCAGAAATAGACATTCTCTCCTCCGTGGTGTCTGAGACTCATCTCTAACCCTTTGAAAGAATTGTGTTGGGGCTTAGCTCTTGCAAGAAAGAAGGAGCTACACCCCTCGCTGCGCCCCTCTGAACCACCCAGAAAGGAGTGCTCGTTTCAAAGCCAGAGTTCCAGAACTAGTTGGAGGTCTGACTGGGTGGGGCGGGTGCAGGTGAGGGCGGGCTGTCTGCCTGAAGCAGGGGGCCTGTGGGAGCGGCCCGGAGCGAGCACAGCTTTAGAGCGCGCGATGGAGTGCACTTGGGGGTGCGTCCATGCGCGCAAGGCTGTGAGCCCGAGTGGAACAAGATGTCTTTCCATCAGGTGCAATGGGTGTGTGTCTTCCCATCCTCTACACTTGATGAAGGACTTGGGTTTTCCAGCAGCTTCCGGCCATGCTGCCTGCCCTTTGCCAAAGGTGAAGCTAAACTCAACCTGCCAGCTTGAAGAACAGCTGTTCCCTGGTTCATCGGAGAATGTCAGGAAGAAAACGTGATGGGTGAAGACGACTTGTTCTCCTAACTCTGTGAAGTTCATTTGGTTTGGCAAGGGCTGTGCAGGTACAGCATGATACCAAACAACAGCTTCAAGATCACATACACTGGTACCCGTGTGTGAGAACAAATTGGGATTGTCTGCCCTGCCAGAGATAAACCCGTTGCAGAGTGACCATCTGCATTAATACGGAGACATAAACCACACCAGCGGGTGGATATTTACGGGGACAGAAACTTGGTGGTGTTGCCCTTGGCGCTCCTATACCATGGAGGGGAGAGGCTCAGCAGTTCTAAGAACACTCGCTCACTGTGCCCTTTCACCTGTGTAAATTGGGTCTGAGAACGGTATTGCTCCTGCTTTTTCCCTGTTTATTTTAGTTCATTGGGTATTGACTGAGAGACCCTGCCCTCCTGCATCCTGGATAAGGCAATACTTGGATCATTAGGTACATGAAAACCTAGGCAACTTGTATGTTCACAAACAAATGTGTTCCAAGAACCTTGTGGAAAGAAACAAACACTGTATTCCAGGGAGGGCCACAAATGTTCCTTCCACATGCCTAACAAAAAGAGCCTTCTTATATTTTTCTTCCCCAAAATGAAGATAAAGATCCCATTGGTGGTGTTCACTTACCTGGCCATGTAACACCAGGTGTGTACCAAGCATGGAAACCTGTGAGATCTCCCTGTACAAGAGGGAGTGTGTGTGTGTGTGTGTGTGTGTGTGTGTGTGTGTGTTGAAAATAAAATTCCGTGGCACTTTTTACCTGTTGATATAGAACACAGTGTCCCCCAATGTGGTAGATTAAGACCGCCAGGAGCACCACTAATTTTCTCTATTTATCTTTCAGAGAGTCTCAGTCTGCTGGCACGGAGTCGCTAGGGTAGTCTAGGCTCATCTCAACCTTGTGCCAATCCTCCTGCCTCACTCCCTGGGTTCTGGGACTACAGCTGTGCGCCAGTAAGTCTGACCCCACCACTTAGACCTTTCATGATTCTGGGGCCACTGGGTGGAGCAGGGACGCTCTTCTTACTGTGAATGGGCGGCACCATCTACCAGTACTCCCAGGAGCACTCGGTGGGCTGCTGATGACGGTGGAGCAGCTGGTTCCTCTCCGCGGCTTCTTACACAGTGCTGTTCCCAGAGGAAGGGCTCCCAGTCCGTGTAACCAGAAGTCCCAGCTCTCCCAAGGCGTGGCCTTGGGTGTTACACAATTTAACTCTCTCCACCTCTGCTACTGTTGAGAACCAGCCCTCATTCAGAGCTGTGGATGATGGCGTTCACCTTTGTTGGGACACAAGCAGCGGTTTTACAGCTATCTTTAATTCTTTGCACCTTCCAACTAGACTGCTCCTCTACTGTAAGGACCTGTGTGATAAGCAGGCATCGTTTTCCCCCCTGGGGAATGCCTGGGGCAGCGCCCCTGCAGAGCAGCCAAGAGGAAGAGAAATCCTGAAACAGGACCTCCTATTTTCAAAGCTTGGTCCCCAGCTTGTAACCTTTTTTGGAGTGGCAAGTGGCTCTCTCCAGGTAAGCGTTAATATTATGATTGACCCTGACTTGATCATGGGGAGTCTCCGAAGCACACTTCCACTGCCGTTACCCCTGCCCTCCCTTCCCTGCCAGGATGGCCTGGAATTCCTCCACAACCGTGAGCCAGAATAAATCTTCCTTCCCATAGGGTTTAATTGCCAGGTGTCCAGTCCCAGCAGCAGAGAGGGTAACAACACATAAACCCATGCAGACTCCTCTCCAGGTACATTAGGCTTGGTGTAGAACCTTTATGGCAGATCTCCGAGGCCCAGCATCACCCCAGAACTGTGGGTCACACAAAAGCACCTTTTTTTTTTTTCTTTTTTTGGTTTTTCAAGACAGGGTTTCTCTGTGGCTTTGGAGGCTGTCCTGGAACTAGCTCTTGTAGATCAGGCTGGCCTCGAACTCACAGAGATCCGCCTGCCTCTGCCTCCCGAGTGCTGGGATCAAAGGCGTGCGCCACCACCACCCCTTTCAATACTAGCAGAACTAATGTGTGCAGTACTTAGCTGCCTACGTATGAACAGCGCACTAAGCTGACATCAGTGACGTAACCTGTCTACTCTGTGACATGCCACGGCAGCCACTGCCTTTCAGTCTACGCCATTCTTTGGTCACACACACACACAAAGTCACTTCCTTCCCGGGACCGCTCCCTAACCATTTGATGCAGGATGCCTTCTGTGTGCTGTGAGCATGTTTTATTACCACTGGCTAATAAAGAAGCTGATTTGGCCAATAGCCAGGCAGAATAGAGCCAGGCAGGGCATTCAAGCAGAGATACAGAGAGAGAACGGCAGTCAGAGCAGAAGCCAGCAGAAGCCAGGGAAGCAAGATGTGAGGTAGCAAGCCATGAGCCTCACGGTAAATTATAGAACAATAGAACTGGATTAGTTTCAGTTGTAAGAGCTAGTTAATAATAAGCCAAACGGTTTGTAATTACTATTAAGCTCCAGAGTGATTATTTTATAAGTGGCTGCTGGGACCGGTGGATGGGAGAGAAAATGGTCCAGCAGGACTGGGCAGAACACAGAAAACTTCCAGCTACAGTTATTAACATTATTATGGGATTGGCCAGATAGCTCAGTAAGTAAAGTGCTCGCCTCTGTAAGCAGGGTACTTGAGTGTGATCCCCAGAACCCATGAAGAAACAGCAGATGTGGAGGTGAATTCTTGTCATCTCAGTGCCAGGGAAGAGGGGACTGGGATTTTCTGGCCAGCCAACCTAGCCCCAAACGGGTATGCCCCAGACCAATGAGAGACCTTGTCCCAAAGGAGGTGGATGACAGAGAATGCCACCCGAGGTTTTTCTCTGGTTCCCACATGCCCATGCACACATAGGTGCATGCACGCACGCATGCACGCACACACACACACACACACACACATGCTCTCACACACAGAGGAACGAGCACATCAAGTGATGCCTTCTGGCAGCCCACACTCAACCCTCTTTCTTGCCACTCGAGGCAGTTACGCCACACTCGTCTTCTTGGTGGCCAGTGGCCAGTGGCTAACGCTTGCCGTGGAACAGATAGTCTTGCTCAGAAGGGCAGCTGGAGTGCATTAAGCCGGGAGCCCTTTGGCTGCTGCGATTTTGAAGGTCCTCTAAACTTGGTTCAGAGAAACCCTTGAGGGAGGGTTAGGAAGTGCTAACCCTCCTCTGAAGGCTATTGCTAAAGCACAAAGCCATTAAAAGTTAAAAAAGTCAAAGGGCTCAAAATGTAACATCTTAAAATAGCTTTTTTTTTATCTTGTAAGAACAACTACAGAATTGTTCAGCCAATGTTTTCTTGGAAGAAAAGGTTTGGGGCTAACCCACACTGGAGCACCAGTTGCTGAAAACCTATTTTAAGCACATGCTTTTCTATCTACTGTGCTGATTTAATGGCCACAGCTCAGGGGCAGGGTGGACCTGAAATCTATTTTTCAATCAGAAGCTATTTCTGACATTTCTAATTAATTGTGCTTTTGTGGATACAATTTTGGTAATCGTAGCCATATACTATAAAACTTCACTGAGCCATGGCTCTGTTGAGGCTGTCTGCATTGATTTGCTGTTTTAATGTTTGTTTTCTTTTTTAAAAATTTAATTAACCAAACAAACGGGTCATCAAGCCGATAACTATTTAAAGTGCCTCGGTCTGTTTGAAAGTTGTCTGGGGAGTGCTGGCGATTTATGAATGAATTACACGTGATGTCTAGTCCCTCTTCCTGGCTTGTACTAACTGGACTTTGTGGAATGTAGATGTTTTGGTGTGACTTCGCCCCAACTTATCCCTGTCTTGCAAGTGGTGCATGCTGGGAATTTCTTTAGTAAAAGGGGACAGCATAAAACCTGAGAACTCTACTCTTCCTAGGACACTACATGCCGGGTCTCAGGGGCTGTAGTGTCCTGGTCTCAGGGGCTGTAGTGTCCTGGCAGCCAACTCTCCTTGTACCAGGAGGATCTTCATGAGTTTAATTCGTTAGTGGTTATTCTGTGCATTTGATTGAATGTGTGTGTGTGTGGTATGTATATGTGCATGTATGCATGTGTGGGGATGCGTACATGTGCATGTGCATATGTGTGCATGCATATGTGCATATAGCGTTTGCACACATGTTTATGTGGTGCAGGGGTGTGTGTGTGGTATATATATGTGTGTGTATGCATGTGCATGTATGGGGATGTGTATGTGTGCATGTACATGTGTGGATATGTCATGTGCATTCATGTCTGTGTGCATGTGCATATATGTGCATGCATGTGTGCATATATGTGCTTGCCCATATGTGTGTGTGTGTGTGCATCTGTGTGTATAATTTCATATATGTGGAGGTCAGAGAACAGCCTCCAGTACTGTTACTTACTTTGAGGAAGTCTCTCACTTGCTTGGAGCTTGCTGATTAGCCTAGGCTGACTGGCCTTTGAGTCCCAGAAATCCTCCTGCCTGGGCCTCCCCAACTTTAGGATTAAAAGTCTATGCCACTACACCTAGCTTTTTGCATAGGTGCTGGGGACTGAGCTCAGGCCCAGACTCTGGTTATTTGGTTTTCTAACTGCAAAAAGAAAATGTTAAATATTTTAAGAAACCCCTTTTCAACTGACAGTGACGATCGGAGATGCCAGGAATGTGACTTTCAAATGTCACTGTCTGTGGCATCTCTAATGGATTTCCATCTTTCTCAGAATATGTGAACATCTGGTGGGGTTCACCGGGTCCTTGGACACCTGGCTGCCAACCCTACCTGTTGCCAATTTCCACACAGTCCCACAGTGACCATGGCACCATGGGACCCCACAGCTCCATTCCTCTCTCTTGCTCTTGAATCCTTGTCTGGAATCCTTTAACTCCAAACCTTCAGGATCCTGTTGCCTCTCAATTACTCTGTGCCTCTGTCCCCCGTTAGGACAGTCCCAGGCCTGACTACTGCCTGCGTGTCTTCTCAGCACCCCATGACTAGCATGCTTCACAGGGGAGAGGGTCTGTGTTGTTCACTGCTGCATCCCAGGACAGAGTCCCTACTGCATTTCCCCTAAAACACAGCAAGTCATCAACAACTATGTGTTTGATGAGTGAATACATTCACTGTCTGTACTGTTAGAATCAAATCTTGGTATAGACTGGCTTTGAACATTATGCACCTTGGGCAGCTTTTGGATGCTTGGGAACAGCGTAGGAAGCTCTCCTCCACACAACTGAGTTAAAGACCTGTGGGCAACAGTCTGCAGGGCAAGAAAGGAGTCTGTGTCTCAGACCCAGGCTCCAGGGAGTCCTTGGCAGGTTCCTGAACTAGGTCTCACTTCCATTCTGAGC